TAAAGACACAGGATGAGAGCACCAACGACAGCATTAGCTGCAAAGACGAATAAAAGAGGCCACATCTTAGAGTTGTGACACCGAAAGCACTCTCCTGTCACTGGGGAATCCTGGAAGCCAGAACCCAGCAAGGCATACGGGATGACGCTGAGGTCACTGCCCTGCGCAGGCAGGTCCGGGTTTGCTGTCCATGGGGAGGGACAAGAGAGTTCCACAGGACCTGTTGGCACACAGCTGGAGGGAGGAGGAGGAGCAGATAAACGGAGGCCAGGATGCCAAGACTTCAAGCAGAGCAGAGTCAGCCATGTCTGAAAGGACTGTCAGACTGAGGGAGGTCAAGAGAAACGACTGTAACAGCCGTAAGCCCAGTCAGAAGGGGATAAAGGGCAAGAGAAACACCAGACTGAAAGCAGTGGTCTCAGTCCAGGGCAAACAGCTTGAACAGCTGTAGAGGTGCAACCAAACCAGCAGGCAGGACAAATGAGTGCCCTGCAAGGAGAAGACCTAGTCCTACCAGAGCCCCGTGCTCAAGCTCCCAGCCTCCCAAAGAGCTTCCTCTCTCCCAGTAACTTTGGTGTGGATCCACAAAAGGCCTGGAACTACAGACCAACAGAGGGAGCCAGGCCACCGCTGACAGCAGCCCAAGGTCCAGCACTCTCTGTCCAGCCAACATTTCCTCAGGCTAATATTTCCATCCCCCTGTCTTCAGGGCTTCCTTTAATAAAGGTAAGCTTTAATAAAAGTAGCTGGCTAATGAGGACAGACGATTGAGCCAGTGATATCTTCCCAGCCTGAGGAAAGGGTGCTCTTGGCATTGCACTGGTTGCTAATCCTTGGATCCGTTGGCTGATTTCAGTTGTATTTAACACCAGGTGGAAACCCGAGTGACAGACAATGCCTAAGATGTCATGGAAATAGGCAGCTGGGTGGAAAAGAAGGACTTAAATCAGAATTGCCATGAAAGACAAGACTGCAAAGCCAGCTCAGTTCTGCTCTTGGAGACGAGACAATTGAAATGCAAGTGACCACAAAAACTTGAGCAAGAACTCCTCTCTCCCCAGATACCAGATAAAATTCCCGCCCACAGCATGAAGACATAGGAAACTAAATTTCTTCAGCTGTGCTATCTGCAGGATTATATTTTCCCCTTTGAAAGGCACAAGCAGAAGTGACGGACGCAGAGGTAATAATATCAGCCCACAAAACCCTGTTGCGTGTATGCAATTTTAACCTGCAGCAGCCATAAAGAGGAACTCTTCTCTCTTGCCTGGAGATGTCCTCCCAGCACTCAGAGGACATGGCAATCTAATAATACCATTCCCTCTCCTCGGCTTGGCCCTGTGCACTTGACACACCACTTCTGCTAAACTAGAAGCATGCTAAAATAAACCAGGGAGCACCCAGCTTTCACTTCATTCTGTTCCTCATTTCCCTATGCCTAACTATTTCCTGCTGCTCTCAGTGTAAGATCTGAAGGCCAGTGGGAGGGATTGTCAGCACAAAGTCTCATGGGGAAGAAGGGAAGTGATTAGATTTGCAGGATGGCATGTGCTACCAAGTCATTTCTCGCTCAGCTCCCGTCATGACACCCATCTTCCTTCACTGTCAGTAACCAAAAGAAAAGTGAAATAGAAGCACCCGCAAATTTGTGAAAGCCTACCTGGTTTCACGGTTATGTAGAAATCATATAAAATGTAGGAAGGTCCACTACATTATTTAGTGGCTTTCCTATTAAAAACAAAACAAAAAAACCCACAACTCTCTTTTGAATTTTAGATATCCTCCCACCTAGGAAAATCTCTACGGAGTATAAAACATTTACTAACAATTTACTAATTAAGCCATTCCGCATTCCAGAAGATTTCACAACAGTACTCAACAAATTCACAGCGGATCCGCCAACTTAAGTAAAAGGCCTGTTAAAAAGACATTCCTAAGAAATAGAATAGAATGAGGCCTTCCAGGTAAACACCAAAAAGCCATCCCAATAAATGAAATGGCACTCCACTGAAGGGCTTCCACTTGACTTCAATTCTCACGTGGGATCCTTACCTTTGAGCATTTCTCCAGCACTTCCTCCTTGAACTGTAGGAACCTTTCCTGGATGGCAGGCTGGTTGAGAGCGAAGGACAGGAAGTGTGTGAAGGGCTGCTTCTTACGGAAGCTGTCCAGGAGAACATCGATCCGCGTTCGGGCAGAAATGACACCGCTGCGATGCTGCCCTGTGATCACTGCAAGGAAACAAAGCAGTAACATCTGCCTGGCTTCCGAGAAGCTACAGCGAGGCTACTGACGCCCACACGAAATAAAGAGCAATTGAATGGATCGTGCTCTTGCATCACAGAATCATAGAATCATCATCTGGTTGGAAGAGACCCTCAAGATCTTCGAGTCCAACCATTCACCCTGCACTGTCAGGGTCCCTAAACCATGTTCCTCAACAGCAAATCCACACGGTTTTTAAACACCTTCAGGGATGGGGACTCCGCCCCCTCCCTGGGCAGCCTGTTCCAATACTTCACAACCCTCTCTGTGAAGAAATTTTTCCTGATATCTGACCTAAATTTACATTATATTTATCCATACACTTGAAAATATCAATATCCAAGAATACTGTGAAGGTAAGAATATGTCATTCAGGACATGTCAGGAGGGAATTAGAAAAACCTGCACAACAGCACCTCTCCACTGTCAGCCCCGGGCTCACTGAAGAAGCGACAGGAATTAAAACCCCCAACCACGCACAGAGAAATCTCGCCAGACTCCCAGCTTGACTTGAAATGCCTCACACGGCTGTGCTCTCCTCTGTAAAAACAAGATGATGCCATCAGAAGTATTCCTCTTGAGCTCGCAAGAAAGTCAGCTCCGAGTGTCTAAAAAACAATAAGTCTATCACTTCAGTAAGCGGCTCTTCAGATTTCTAGAGCATTATTTCAAGTTTTCGTAAAGACAGTCAAAGTGAAAAAGAGAAGAAAAATCTATCGAAGATCAAGATGGCCTGTACCATTTGTGCACGCACTTCAAGGCACTAAACAGAGAACGCTTGAGCCTGAAAGGAAAGAACAGCAAGGAGCAAGATTTTCTTGGCTTCCTATTATTATATGTTTTCAACATCTCTCAACCTTCCTAACAGTCCTTCACGGTTCTCAGGAAGAAGTCAAGACCCACTTCTTGAGAAGTACTGCCACGTTCCTGTGCAGCACAACAGCTGGATCCCACTGTCGCTTACTCCTCACGGCTCTGCCATGAACGTTAACTGTACACCGCGCCGATTACCACCGGAGAGTCCGGAAAGGACCCTCCAGACATCCACTTAGGCAGAAACTCGCACAGGCTAGCCCTTACAAGCAACACCTCCGTTCTTTTTAAGTCACTGGAAGTGAGGAGAAGGAACACACGGTACAGGAAAGTCAGCTCTCACTATCAGGATCAAGTGACACCACCAGAAAAGCTGCAACGTCATCAAACCACTTCTTATATTAAAGTAGACGCTGAAGATTCTTTCATGCATGGATATACAACACAGAAACTTTTTCTTGATCTATATTACAGTTTCTTCTTAATGGAAATGGTATTGTTTTAAAAACAAAACACAACAAATCCAACACATTCAGGACCAAAGTTCTCAAGCCAGTCATTCAAGGCCCAGAAGTGACTTCAGTGAGACTATTCACAGGCTTAAAATAGACTTTTTTCCCCCAGAAAAAACCCTTACACTGCTTTACAAGGTTTTATAGACAGAAAAACTGAACTCAGGAGAAAAGTGAAGTGATTTTCCCAGGGCCATAAAGTGAGTCAGTGCCATGTCAGAAGCAGGAATTAAAGGAAAAACACCTCCTATACCCCCTCCTGCCTCAAACCGTGTCTGTGCAAGAGCCGATGAAAGAACATCCATTTTGTGCACGTTAAACTCATAGAATCATAGAATGGTTTGGGTTGGAAGGGACCTCAGAGATCATCTAGTTCCAACACCCCTGCCATGGGCAGGGACACCCTCCACTACACCAGGTTGCTCAAAGCCTCATCCAACCTGGCCTTGAACAGCTCCAGGGATGGGGCAGCCACAACTTCTCTGGGCAACCTGTTTCAGTGCCTCACCATCCTCAGAGTGAAAAATTTCTTCCTTAGATCTAATCGAAATCTCCCCTCTTTCAGTTTAAAGCCATTGCCCCTTGTCCTATCACTACATGCCCTTGCAAAAAGTCCCTCTCCAGCTTTCCTGTAGGCCCCCTTTAGGTACTGGAAGGCTGCAATTCACCAATTTCTCCGTCCACTCCAGGCTTGGGAATGCTGATGGAGGTTCGAGTCTCTGTTTCTAGCCTCTTCTTGGTTTCCCCTTTCTTCCCAATGATGTACCTGGAGGCACAAAAGTGCAAGAGAGTCACTCACGCAGCATCGCTGGGCCACTCTCCATCCAGTGTGTCCCGCCGGCAGACCAACCATGCCACAGGCAGCTGGGTCATGTCAGACTGGGTATCTCCCCAGACTGGGCATCTCTGTGCTGGAGGGATGCATGTGCTCAGCTCCATGGGCAGCACCCGGTCCAGGCACAGAGGCTACTCCCGGACTCCGCGTGTAACCAGCCCAGGAGCACGGGATGATGTTGAGCCGTGGCTCACGACTGGCTTAAGTTAAAATAAGTCAGTCATCCATGACAGCTCTGCCCAGCACATCCTGCCACAGCTTACTCATCAGCTGGGTTACCCCTTTTTCCCATTCCAACAAAAAGCTAAGGGGTCTTTTTCTGCTTTTTGCTTTGCTCACCCTAGTCATCTGCCGGCATCCAAATATACAACAGAACCCTTCCCCTTCTCTACGCTTCAGTAAAACTATTCAACCAATAGAACTGTCAAAAATAACTAGATAGAGCTTTGAACACTACAGGCTTCCCAGTAAATACCAGACTGGAGTCAACAGTCAATTCCAGCCGTGTGCGCTTTCTCTCAAAGCTTTCACAAACTCCTCCTGCCAGGCTGCTCGCCCCAGTTCTTCCTCCCCTTCTCCCACCCTCCCTTTCCCTTTTATGTTCAAGGGAAGAGACGCTCAAAAACTCTCCTGCCAGCAAGAAAGCACCACCTGCTGTCTCTGTCACAGGGAAGGCTAGGAGTCAAGCGTGGCACAACTGCACTAGAAAGGCATTGCCAATTTCCCAAATGCTAAAACCCACATCCACAAAACGGAATACATTTCGGAGAGCCGGCGCTTGCTCTGACCTCAAAAAAAAAACCAAAAAACAACAAACTGTGCTCAATCTCTTCCCAGCTGCATCTTAAATAAACCAGAAACATCTAAGCTTACTTGTATAACGGGCTGGGAACCTCCACTCTGCACTGGAAGCCTTTCTCAGTCTCTTCCACCACAAAGGCATCACAGGGTTCGTCTGCGCAGTCACCGGGGCCTACCAGAAAAAAAAACAAAACCACAAAACAACAGACCTTGCACAACCTCTGTGAAGTCAGGCAGAGCTTTATGTAGGACAGGAGTCTCCCAGCCGCCTTCTCCCAAGGTTAAATAAAGGAAGAAACGGACTCCTCTCTGTTGCAGCTAACTGCTGTTTATTTCACCTTACTAGCAGCTCCAGAAAAGATAATGACTGCTTCTAAATCTGCTGAGTTGGGAGGTGTAGGAAAGCAGTAGTTATAGCCCAGGTTTTCTCTCAGCTGGAAGTTGTGCAAGTATCCAGTGGGAATGGCCTCTTCTCCCGGCAGAGTGAAAGCCACCAGAGACCCGAGCAGGAATTTAAAGTCGCAGAAGAACACAAATAAAAGGCGAGGACAGGTTTGGTTCAAGGGTTCAGGTACAATGTTTTGGAAAACTGAGAAATTCTCACTCCCTTGGCACAGAGGAATAGATCATAGAATCATAGAATGGTTAGGGCTGGAAGGGACCTTCAAAGGTCATCTAGTCCAAGCCCCCTGCAAGGAACAGGGATATCTCCAACTAGATCAGGTTGCTCAGGGCCTCGTCCAACCTGGCCTTGAACATCTCCAGGGATGGAGCATCCACTACCTCTCTGGGCAACCTGTTCCAGTGTTCTACAACTCTCATGGTAAAAAATTTTTTCCTAATATCCAATCTGAAAAGATGGATATTAACAAAAAAAGATGTCCCTTTTATTTGTCGACCGTTGAGTCGTGCCTGTTAGGCCTGAAAGTGATTTTCAGGAGGAGACCACGGTTACTATCTCCTCTCCAACACATACAGGGAAGAATCTGGGTGGCAACCAGCTTATTAAAGCTTTGTTCAATCCACTGGAAGGCAGGATGGAGGGAAAAACAGGACACAACGGCTACAACCCTTTCCATTTGAGAAATAACAGCTGGGCTTTTCTGTGCCCACAACTCACACAGAACTAGAACAAACATGCACGCAGAAAGATAAAGTAAAATACACAAGAACAGGAAGAATTTTGCCCCAAAATCGGTAACACCTTACAAAAGCCATGTTGTAATAGGCCATTTTTTTAAGGCACAAACATTGCAAGGACAGAGGATCTTTAGCGAGCAGCTTCCACTCCTGCCATGTCTGCAAATAATCACACTACGGAAAAGAAAAGCACTTCAGGAGCCTGAGGAAAATTGATCTATGGAGCTCGTTTGTTTTCCCCTTTTCCTGGAGATCTTTCACGGCCAGCACGCAAACTGACAGTCCACAGCACAGTCACCCAAACCCACATTGGATAATCAGGATTACGTCCACTCTTTGGTCAGCAGGATCATCAGGGATCAATGCAAAGCATTTTTCTCCCTCTTGAACACATCACTCCACCACATGGGCAGGTCCTTGAGCGTATAAGAACATCACAAGAAACACCAAGAGTTCCCTATGTCCCCAGTGTTGATGGTTTCACCTCCAGCATGACGTGACAGCGACATGGTCACCCCTCACACAGCACTCTTTACCTGCACAGAAATCCTCCTCCTCCTCGTGCTGGCAGGCCTGCTCTTGAATGAGATTCTTCCTGTATACTCGCCCTCCAATCCTTATCAGGGTGGGCCGCAGAACATCCATCCTGCTCCTCCTCCTAAAGCAAAAACAAAGACAGCTTTGCTATCTGATGACAAGGAAAGGTCAATTCCGAGGTTTCCTCGTGGACAATTTGTAAGAGGCATCAGGGGAGCTCCCAGGGGCTCAGCAGTAAAGAGCGAGGTCTGTACCTCCAGAAGCGCAATAACTCCTTCTATGCATACGTACAAGAGACTTCAGAAAAGCAGTGCCTTCTCAAACCTTACGTCGCTGATCAAAGACTAATTTGACAAGAAGTTACAAGTAGGCTCTTTGTCAGCTCGTAAAGCCATCAAGAAAAAAACAGGAAATTTAAGCACTGCAAGATACATAACTAAGCACCGGGTTTTTTGCCCCTGCACGGAGGTCAGCAACTGATCACCACTTTCCCTAAAACTCAAAGGTTTTAGCTAAAACTCGCTGCAGCCTCAATGTGCCATCTTGGCATCGTTCAGCATTCCAAGCAGTTTCACCTCTTTATTTTCCATAGCTGCAGAACAGAGAGACCCTCGTGTCCTGAAGGAATCCCCTACAACACTGGCCCCTCTCAAAATATCTGCCATCCTCACTGAGTTTCTCAAAGGCCTCAGGAGGCTTCCAAAAGCAAACCCAGTTCCCTGGACCTGCTTGGGAGGCAACTGGAGAAGGGAAACAAAGCGCTCCGAGGGGTTGGCACTGGCCAGCGTAAGCGGTTACACCTCCTGCCCTCCACCTCAGAGCGCCGCGGTCCTTACGCTGCCCTGTGCTATTCCAAACGATGTCAGAAACACTGGGAGTCGAGTTAAACTCTTTACGGTGTAAAAAAAATGGATGGTGTTAAAAGTTAACTACATTTAATGGCGTAAAAGCAACAGGGCGATCCAAAGAACTGGCGCTCGTCTGTCAGGGACTTTCTATCTTCAGTACTTAAATGTCTATGTTGGCTGAAACTGCTCACGGTGGAGGTCTCGGTTTGCCTTGTTTGGAAAACAGGAATTTCTGTCACTTGGAAA